GTTTTAATCAATTTCAGGGCGTATTTCAGTGGAGATCCACACTTGCAAAAGATCAGCTGGGCTAAAGAACATACTTCCTCACAGCACAAGGACAGTCAGAACCTGTACCATAAAGTGCAGTTCAAACCTACTGTCCAACAGACAACACCATGATAGGAATAAAGAAATTTAAACTACGTTTTAAAGTTTTCAAAATGCACACAAAATTAAATGCCCAAAAGATACCAGATATCAAACTAAAACGCAACAGGATCCCACTGTTATTAACAAGCTCCTCATTTAATGATTTTAACTGACACTTGTTTTACTTTAATAATGAGTTTTAACTGACACTTATTTTTACATAATTTTTTTATATGTTTGAATTGTGTAAATAAAGTGCTGTTAAAAGTCAAAAGTCTTCTTCTATTTTTTAATGGCGATTAAGTGTCGGTTCCGTGACACAGGGCCGTATTTAATTTTTTCATCATCAGTATTTTTTTTTTTTTGTACTCAGTAACGTGAGGGGGTTTTAAATGTAGCGAAGTAAAACTACTTAGGTTAAAATTTACTCAAGTAAAAGTAAAAATTACTTATTTCAAAAACTACTCAGAAAATTACAAATTACTCATAAAAAGTACTCAATTACAGTAACTTGAGTAAATGTAATTCGTAACTTTCCACCCCTGGCTGTGATGACTGGATTTGGTTCTCAGCAGCAGCATCCAGACCCTGCATCCAGCTCCCTCTGAATCGGCTCCATCACTAAGCCAAGTCTGTGTAAATCCAGTCTGAATACAGCGATGCTCGATAGATGTTTATGGAAATGACCATGGGACATTCTGTTTGTGATTGTTAATCATATACCAAGACAAAAACATAAAAAAGCTAATTTTAGTTGTTATGCTGCAGTAATTTGTAATAAAATCCCTCAAAACTCTTAAAAAAAAAGTTGAGATTCTTTAAATAATTAAGTTTCAGTCAACTTTCCTCCTATCATTGTCCTATCATTTCAATTACCCAGTTTTATTCTCTAGGATTCATTGTTTTATACTCATTAATTGATTACTTATGTATTTTATTTGTCAATTTTTTTAACTTTGTCACTTATTCTGTTATTTTTATACACTTTTTAAGGTCCACATTTGTGTGACCCCTTTTGCTGTATCTTTTGCTGCTGTAACGCCACAATTTACCCATTGTATGACAATAAAGGGATTTTCTATTCTATTCTATTCTATTCTATTCTATTCTATTCTATTCTATTCTTTTAAGCTTCACTGAAAATTCAAACTGGATGACATAATTGGTCTCCACCTCTCTTCCAATCATCTATGATCAGCTGTGAACGCCTTTTGCCATGACCAATGATCATCAGGACCTACTTTAAAGAGGAGTGTTCTACAGCATCTCACCATCTTCTTTGTTTTCATTTGGCTCTCTTAATCCTAATTCGTCTGCTCAATTATATCATCATCATCGTCATCATCATCATCATCATCATCATCATCATCATCATCATCATCATCATCATCATCATCATCATCATCATCATCATCATCATCATCATCATCCTACATGCTAATGAATACAATCAAAGACTGAGTGCCAAAGGGTATATTTTTTTACTTCAACAAAACTTTGATTGTTGTTTTCTTCTATTTAAATCTTTCCAGGTTGAATTTATGTGGATTAACTATTTAATTACCTTTATGCCGCTGCAATGTATTTATTTTATTTTTACTTTATCTGCTGTACAGCACTTCGAATTGTCCTATTACTGAATATAAACTAAATAAACTTGTTTTAAGTTACCTTATGGTTCCATGTCATATTTTAATAGCTGATTGTTTTTTTTGTTTTGTTTTTTGTGTTAAATTATAAAACTGTTTTATCTTTTTTTTTTTTTTTTGGAAAAGAATAAAAAATTGATGAATAGATCGATTGAGAGACCTAAAATTAATAACAGTGGATTACCACCAGCAGATGATTTCCATCCCAAACTCCATTTACATGTATTTATTTTTATTTATTTGTTTATTTGTCATGGAAAGTACACATTAATGAACATTTCCGTAAATGTGTCCGTGTCAACTATTAACCCTTTATAGAGCACTCAGTGAAATCCTTTGAAAATCCACATTTCAAGCCAATAGTGTTATTGGAATCCAGGACAAGACCTTATTACCTTTGTAACATTTTGTTGGCAAAAATGAATGTCAGTGCAATAACAAGAAACACCAACTTATCCAAATATATTAAGAAAAATAACAAAAAATAAGAGCTTCTATAAGAAATTAATGAAAAACACAAAGAAACACTTTTTTGTTGATACAGCATAACCTTAGAGGCTTTAATGCTGATAGTAGCACTTACATTTTTTTAGTTTATAAATCTAAATATAATTGTTAACTAGTATTATTACGTTTTAAACTTTACTTTTTAACTTTTCAGTTAGCTTTTTCCCTTTTTCTCTTGACTTTTTAACTTTTTAATGAGCTTTTTCCCTTTTTCTCTTGACTTTTTAACTTTTTACCTTTTTTCAACTTAATTTGCAGTAGGTAATATATCATTCAAGGGTTCATCTAATTGGTCAAAGGCCAAAATAAGATTTACAGCCATGTCGCAGCATCTTTGCTGAATGGTTGGATATAGATCTTGTGCTTCTAGACTTCACTGAGGGACGGAGGGGTATCCATTTGTAATGGGTATGCAAGTGATCAGAATTGGTAACTTGCACTATAAAGGGTGAAGCAAGTTTTCAACTTCTATCCCTGCACAAGGTGTATAATGCCAATAAAAAATACTTTATTAATCTAAAAGGGAAAATCAAAATCCTTCAAGTTATCTGCTTTTTTGTGCAACTAGTTGTTGCAGGTGTTGATAACTGTGGGCAGGAAGGATCTTCTGTATCGGTCTGTCTTGCACCGGATGGAGCCACTGATTGAAGACACTTTGTTGGCGTTTAACAATCTGAGTTGCATCACCACCTCCACTTACTCTTCATCTATGTTAATAGGATTCAGGTTGTTCCTGTTTCTTCTGAATTCTCAAAACATTTCTCTTGTTTGTTGATATTCAGGATCAGATGAGTGTTTCCACACCATGCCACAAAGCCGTTAACCAGCTCTCTGTCCTCAGCTTCTTGTCCATCTTTGATGCACCCAATGATTGCAGAGTCATCTGAATATTTCTGCAGAGGACAGGACTCTCTCTGGTACTGGAAGTCAGATGTGTACAGAGTAAAAAGTACCGTCCACTGTGGTGCTCCTGTTCTTCTAACTACATGATTAGACAGCTGACCCTGCAGTCTAAAAAACTGTGGTCTGTTTGTCACGTAGTCTTTGTCCAGGCGATTGTTGATGCCTCCACCTGAGTCTTCTGAAGTCTCTGTCAAAGCCAGTCAGGCTAAAATGTATTAAATTGACTGGAAAATCAAAGAACATGTTCCTTACAGTGCTGTCTGCCTTTTCTAAATGACAGTGGGTTTGTTAAAGCAGGTGTTTGATGACATCATCAACCCCAGCTTCACAGCAATAAGCAAACTGCAGGGGTTCTTGTTTGCTTGATCAGGTGCACCAGCAGACGTCCCTCATTTCTGATTGCAAAACTTCTCAAAGGACCTTTATCATCTGTTACTCACGGTGTCCTTCTCTACTTGGACCTCCTGAAAGGAATTTCCCACATCCAAAAGTCAGATTTTGAACCAATGAGCAAAAGTCTAATCTTCCTAAAACCTTGAAACAGTCCAAGGGTTCTAAATCTCCCCCAAACTCTCAAATGAATTTAATTTAAACTGACTTAAACTTGCACAAGGATGGCATTATCATCATAACCATTAATCCTAGTGTGTCTCTGTGGACGGCCATGCTGTTTAGTAATGACTTGTGTGGCTTATGTTCCTAAGTGCGCCACACTATGATGTCATTTTAAGAGTGGCAGCAGTCTAAACACGGCTGAATAGACTGTAACGAGTCAATAACAACTTTATTTTTTGTTTAGCCTTTATTGATGAAGGTTCTCAGTCATCCAGGTCATAGTCATTCCGTAAAAATTCAAAAAATATCCACTGGACTTGGTTTTCAAGATTTGAAGACGTTTCGCCACCTCTCCAGGAAGCTTTCTCAATTCAAATGTCAGACATTTGAATTGAGAAAGCTTCCTGGAGAGGTGGTGAAACGTCTTCAAATCTTGAAAACCAAGTCCAGTGGATATTTTTTGAATTTTTACGGAATTTAGCCTTTATTACTCTGTGTGAAACCATGCTTCAGTCATTATGTGTTTTGGAATAAAAAAAACGTTTTCTGTCATATTCTAATGTTTCCTAGTGTGTTTTTTCAATAGTTTAGATGTAGGTGGAGAAAATGAAAGTTTTATGACCTAATTTGAGAGGAAGGAAATGCACTGGTTTTGGCAAAGAGCTTTTTAAAGTGCCACAGCTATAAGTCTCCTTCTGCTTCATCATGAGACAAACAGGTCAATAACCACAATTATATAAATCATGTGCTTATTGAAAAGAATGGAAGTCTCATTTTAAACTGATTGAATCATTTCCATAGAAAGCTGTGAAAGCTAAATTTATCTCTGCATGTATCTGCAGGAGGCTTCCACCACCATCGCCCTGCACTATAAATAACGACCATGTTATAGCTGGTGTTTTTCCCCAAAAACTTCCAAAACTAAAAATAAATCAATGACTAATCACCCATGTGGGTTTATGTGAAGCATTCATTTCCTTTGAGTACTTTATTCCAGTCATTGTGTCTTTCTATCAATCTTTTTTTATCTCTTGTTTGACTTTCAGCAGCAGTCAGGTGCGTCAGGCTCGGATGATTTCATTGTATCTGAGCATCAGAACCCACGCCTCTCTGTCTCTCTGCTGCTTCGGCGTGTTTGCACGTCATGTGCTCGTTTAGCAATCGAAAAGGAGGAAGAAAGGCTGCGTGAAGCCACAGCCTCCTGTGACATCACATCATGTCATGTTGGATCCTGTAAGGACGCACGGCATTCAGGTAGAACTGGTCTAGTCACATAGCTGCTGCCTTCCTCCCTCCTCCTTGGATTAAATCCTCTCCTTTTCATCTGTGTTTACATGTCACTGTGTCTTCAGATGGTCTAGCTGTTCCTAGCTCTTCTCTGGGACTCATCATGGACTACTCTCAGCCGTTCTCGGTGCTCAATGAGCAGCTGAGACCCCGACTGACCTCCAGCGAGCAGCTTCACTCTTCCCTCTGCAGGCTGGAGGACAGGAAGCTGGACTCCAGCTCCATGAGGACCAAATACATGTTGTACAGATCATCTATCCTACCGACAGAAACAGAACCACAGACCTCCATCAGCAACACAGAGGATGCAGATCAACATCAAACTAGCACAGAACAAGAAGTTTTGGGCTTCAGCAGCACAGAGGAGGGACTTTCCTCGGATCTGCTGCCTTACATCAACTCCTGCTTCAACAGAGATTTTAACATAAAGGACGAGGATGAAGACGGGCAGGCAAACGACAACAGCAGCATGACTCAGTCCGAGGAGACGGACAGCTCAGGTGAAATGGGCTCAGAGGAGGCAAGGGACTCCGTGAAGACAGGAGCCGGAGCCGAAGCGGGAGAGAGCCCCTTCCAGAGGTTCTACGCTGACAAGACCTTACCAGACCTGATCAGCACCGGCAGGCCGCTCGGCAGACGCAGGACGCTGACACATGTCTCAGATACGGTAAGATGCAAAGACTTTTAATGCCTCTAGAAGAAGGTGAAAACTGCTCCCTGATCAGACCAGTAAAACAGGGTGGAGACCATCTATGATATAACTTAGGAGTTAAACAAGAAATGAAGTAAACAATGACTCCTGCATAAGACTTATCATGGTCATCTGAAGGCTTTAGAATAATGTATTTAATTATGAAAATATAAGAAAGATTTCTCAGGTAATAAATGGTTTAGTCCTTCATAATTATCCTGTGTCTTCAGTCTATCTCTTTGGTTTCAGCTCTGAGTTTATGAACCTGTACAACTGGTTTCACCCCAGAATCTAGACTAGCAGTTTCTGCTTACATTAAGTTCAAAATGTTTCTTTTGTGTTTAGGCTAGTTGTTATCTTCTTAGACACAAAAAAAATACCTGCATTCACTGATAAAATGTTTAAAAAGAGTGTTGTTATGTTTTTCAATAGCTTAAAGAAGTACGTAGGGAGGTGGAGCTGTCCCGCAGGAGGAGCATCAAGCTTAAGGCTCAGGTGGACAAACTGCAGGGGAGCACTGATGGACCCGGCTGGAGCAAACACCGAGAGACGGTAATGGATATAAGCTAAGGCTGCTGGGCACAGCATGAAACTACAAAGCTCTTCATGACACTGGTTTGATTTTTACTACAGGTCACAGATGAAGTTCTGTCAGTTCTGAGGCTGTTAAACCCACTGATAGAGCCTGAATCCAGCAAACCTGAGCCCCGAGGGGGGGAGAACCGGCTGGACGCTGCGCTGGTGGAGCTGAAGAATGTGGCCAGGCAGCTGGCAATCAGCCATACCAAGCAGGTGAGGGTCACACCCACCCTGGACCTTTTTTGTCACATTTTGTTAAATATTAACATTTCAATTCATTCTCCTTAAAGTTTTCCATCACTAAAAGCACATTTTAAACACGTTATTGTATAAACCCGTACTAATGAAAAATCCTTTTTCAAATGACAAAGCTAACTTAGTTTTAATGACTGAGACCTCAGCTCTGTCTTGTTACCGATTCTCAGCTGGACTTAGGTCTGCACTATGTGCATTTCCTGTGTAGCTCTGATAAAAAGAAAAAATCCTCTAAAATGGAGGTCTTCAACAATATTTTCAATATTCCCCCCTGCAATTTTTTTCCACTAATTGAAATGTCTTTAAATCCACATTAACATGAATTCAACACACTGTAGTAAACAGATAAATGGAAGCAGAAGATGTCTTTCAGTCATCAATGCTCACATTCAGCGACACATGGGAGCTCTTTCAAGCTGGTCACCATTTCATTCACAACACCTGTCCCATCAATGAGGAATCGGAATCAGAATCAGAAACATTTTAATAATCCCAGGGCAAAATTACATGACTCCATCTGTATTAGAGTGACTATAGGACCAGTTTGATAGAACACAATTTCATACAATATAATTAGGGGGTCCATGCTCCATCATGCCATGTTTGTGGGTCCTTAGCCTAGAAACCGTTGAAGACCTCTACTCTAAAGCATCTCGCTTTTTGCAGCTTCTAACAGGCTTTTTTCTTAGGATTGTCTCATTTAATCAATCCCTCTTTTTCTGAACGAAGCAAAAGCTTCCCCTCAGCATGACACTGCCACCACTGTGCCATATAATAAGGATGGACTGTGCAGTGTTAGTTTTGAGCATATAAAATATCATTAATGTTTAATATTGTAGTCACCTACACCTGTCTCCCCTTGAGGACTAAAGCATCCCCACAGCATGATGTTCTCACTGCCATGCTATGTGCTGCGTTTGGTAAACAGAGCAGCTTTTTCATTCTCTCCTCTCAAAGAAACTCGTTTCTACAGCACATTGTTGCCACATAAAATCTAAATAGAATACACGGGAAACCGTGCAAAGGTACAAAGGTAATAGTCATTTAGTTTCTGGTGATATCAGTCGATGGGCACGGCGCTCAGAAGAGTGTTTGCTTTGCTCATGCTTGTAGGACCTGGTTAGAGATGTGGAGAGTTATTTGCACAGGAAACTGCTTCTTCTTATCTTAGTTGCTTTCTTTGCGAAGCAGTCTTTGTAATCAGGTTTGTCATTCATTAATGGTTGAACAAACAGAATAGAAAATTGGGACCTAAGACTGACTGATTGACTGTAAAATAAACAAAACAAAAATACATATTTGCCTACTAACCCTCAAAACAGGCGATGACATTCAGCTTTTTTAAACGTTGGTTTCACTTTAAAAAAACATAATGCATCGCTGATCTTTTGTGGCTGAGAAACAAAGTTTTCACATCTTAAAATTTCCCCCTGAAGCTACTTCTGTCATTTGAAAGGCATCTGCTGTCTGATGAAGCATTGTTTCAGTGAGAACTCCACCCTGCGGGTTAAGCTTAGCAATGCTGCCTGACAAGTTTACTCGTGATGCTATCAGTGATTCCTTTCTCTCTGCGTCAGTTTTTGTTAAAAGGAGAAATTTAGGGAGCAATGTTCTGATTTTACCAACTAATACAACTTTAAATCAAATTGTCTTCATGCTTCAATTCATCCATCTTCTGATTCTTCCTTCAGGATTCTAAATCTTGGAAAAATGGAGCAGAAGAGAGCGCCGTCCTGCAGCAGGCTCTGAGGGACAGAGATGAGGCCATAGAGAAGTGAGTTCCCACACAAACTGTCACGCTGTCAAGATTTGAGGTGGAAAAAGGGAAGCCACAATTGTATTCTGAGGAATGATTCATTTGTTCTGCTTTGCTGCACAGGAAGAAGGCGATGGAGGGCGAGGTGCTGCGGAGTAAGACCGAGTTGATGGCGCTGAACAACCAGCTGCTGGAGGCCGCACAGAAACGTCTGGAGCTCTCACTGGAGCTCGAGGCCTGGAAGGTAAACGGCTCGACAAGGGCAGAGAAAGGGTGTGTTCTTTAGGTACACAGAGAACCAACGTCAACAGAGAGTAAAACATGCCAGTCACTAAGAAACACACACACTGACGCACATGATTATAATAAAACCCAAGCTGGGGCTCCGAGATAAATGATGAAAAACCAGCTCCAATTAAAATTCTCTTCCATTATGAGGACCTTAAGTTCTTTAACAGCAGCTGGTATTTGGCCTCAGGGTTGCGTGTGGTTTTCACCAAGCTCTCTGCACCACGTGAGAAAAACACTTTGTTTTGCAGCTTTTCTGACCTAGATAAAATCTGAGATTATTTTCTTTTTATTTTAAATAATATAATAAAATAATTACAGGGGGACATTTTAACCTGATATGGGGAGATGTATTTTTTATAGGACGGAGGAATACCCCTTAGAATTTTTTTTGTGACAAAACAAAAAAATATCAATGTAGTATATTGAACGCCAACACAAAATTTTGCAAATAGGTCGACAATTAATTGTTGACTCTACAAATCACCTCTCTGGTGGATAGTGGAAAAAACAAACACAAAAGAATTAAAAATACAACACAAAAAGAACCGTTTAGAAAGTTTTACAACCAGTATGGGAGACAGATGCTCTTGTCAGATAGGATTCAAGTTCAACCTTTTGGCATTTTATGCAAAAACAGAATAAGTGGCATGATTGCACATGACATGAACATGCAATCCCTATAGTATAACATGGTGTTGGCAGTGTCATGCTGTGGTGTGTTGTGTTAAGTCATTGTTTTCCAGAGGTGTGTTAGAGAAGCACCGGCGGTACAATGGGCAAAAGAAACCTAAACTTTAATCAGTAGAAACCTCTCATAAATAATTGTAAATAAATAGTAAATAATTAATTTATATCCAAGATTTTGTATAGACAAACCTGAAAATTAAAAAAGTGAAAATTTTGAATCCATATTAATCTGGGAAAAAATTGTATTCACTCTAAACTGTGACTAATTATCAGTGGTGGACGAAGTACTCAACTATAGCACTTAAGTAAAAATATTGATACTACAAGTAAAAGTTGCCCGGTAAAATATCTATTCAAGTTAAAGTATTAAAGTACTTACTTTTGCAAGTATTTAAATACTCAAAAATAAAAATACAACTTTCTAACATCACTACATCCATCCATCAATTTTCCATCACACTTATCCGAGCATGGATAAGCATGTATAATGGCACTTCTTTATTATTTTCCGAGTAATTTTAATGAACCTTGTAACTTTCAGAAACTACCTGATTTATTCATGAGTAGAGCCACTGCTACAAATTCTACATCACCTATAAAGAACTTCTGCATAAAAATGCCAAAAATATAACAACAGCTTTTTTAATTATTTATTTATATATTATTTATTTAAATATTCATTTATTTCATCATTATTTATATTATGTATTTATTATTTATTTAAAAATACACCAAAAAGAAAGGTGTAGGTCACTATTCCATAGTGACTTTCACTATGGAATAGAGGTTTAAGGTTGAATCTGTTGCCACAAAGAAACTAAAGCTCTGATTTGAGAACTCATCCTACTGAACAACTTGGCCACACGGCAACTAATTTATAAAATGCAAATAATATAATCCCTGAGTTTCTCACATCTGTGGAATGACACGCATATCACTAAAACAGTGGTGTCCCAATTCAGTCCTAATGGCTGCTTTCTTTCATGTTGAAATTGCATTAAAAAGAAAAACAGTAACAGTGGATAAAAAGCGGAGCCAAATTTAACTAGCAGTGAGTTATATGTATCCCCCTTAAAAAAATGATGCAAGTAAAGATGCTTAAAAAAGGACTTAAATACAGTAATCGAGGAAATCTACCAACTTTTCCAATAGCAGTGATCATAAATTTTGTAAATTGCACTGAAAGCAGGCAGATGAAGGATAAATGTGAAGTAAAACAGTCTTAAAATCTAAGAAGATTATTTTATGCCTCTCCTCAGGAGGACTTTCAGCGTCTCCTCCAGCAGCAGGTGATGAGTCAGCAGATGGCAGAGCAGCAGGCCCAGAATAAGTCAACTCGGAAAGGCCTCCTGAGGCGAAACAAACAGCCTCCCATCCAGCGGCCGACAAACTTCACATTCGGATCACCCGCACCTCCCACCACCAACTCCAACCAGATCTTTGTGAACAAGCCTGCCAACCCTTCAGCACCGGCTCCCAGCATGGCCTCTCCTCCTGCTGCTGCCTCCGCTGGAACTCGCACCTGGAGGGACAAGTTGAAGAAGACCAGGCCTCGCTTCCCGTATCAGGACGGAGCCGAGCAGGAGAAGGATTGGGGCAGAGGAGACGATGGCTTTCAGGTGGTTTGCCTCGACTGAAACCATCACAGGACATCCAGCACACTGGAGCTTTCCAGAGACTCACACAAATAATAATAATGCTGCTGCTTATTGTGAGGAAGTTTGAAGGGTCAGAATGATGGCAGTCCACACTACAAAAACAATCTAGAAAAAATAAGTAGAAATGTTTTAAATTAAATGTATTTACCCTTAATTTCAGTAAGTAAATAAGATGAAATTTGCCAATGGAATAAGTATTTTTCCTCTTTAAATGAGACAATTAGATATCATGGACTTGAAATAAGAAAATGCAATTGTTTTTCTTATTTTAAATGTAAATTGTCTTTTTCCATTGGCAAAGTGTCTCATTTATCTACTAAATTCAAGAAAAAAATGCACTTATTTTAAGAAAAAAAATACTTATTTAGATTTTTGCAGTGCAGTTTGATGCCAGAAACCCAGAATCTGCAGAGCTTGTAGTTTTGCCCTCAGTCTGCAAACTTTTCTATAACAGAGAAATGTGTTCTTTTACCAGAGGCAGGAAAACAGGGAACAAATTTCTTTCAGGAATTTCTTGCTTTATGCAAATCATGTGCAGAACTCCTAGAAAGTATTTGCAGATCTTCTACTGCAGCAAACCACCTTCATAGTTTTCTGATACCAAACAGGACATTGTTCTGCTTGTGTCCTTCTGTTCTTGAAGCTCTGGGAAAGAAAACAAATTTTATTAGTGCCAAAGTTCTTCTTCTGCCCCTCTGCAGAAGATTCATGTCTACAGTTTGGACTAGAGATGCACCGATCTGGATGATGTGGTTTTATAAAGCTTTTACCTGCCAGGACTGATTTAAATGGCTTTATTTGTCATTACTGCAGAGCACTATTTATTTTTTTTAGGTCAGACTTGAAATCTGAAACTCATATCCAATCAGGGAGAGCTTGAAAAAGCTGTTGTAGGGATTTTAAATTCCTAATTTGGAATCAAAACCCTAATTAACATGTGTTTTCAGGTATTTTACACCTAAAAGCAACAGTTAATTTGTGTATATTTTATAGCCCTTTCTCTTAAAACTCATTAGAAATATTAAAAAAGTTTCAGATATTTTGACAGTGTTGATTTAACAGCTGTCATTTTGAACATTATAAATATTACCATCTATAGCCTCACTTATTGGTGTAAGAAATACATCCTTCGTCTAAGAGTGTTCATATGTTTTACATTTTTTTTTTTATAGTAAGAGCCATTTTAATCTACATGCATAAACAGCAAGGCTCTCGGTCTGTTTGCCTCTTAGGTTTAATCCCCTATTTTATGACCGTCTATTATTCCCATGTTAATCTCTGTACGTCAACAGATCAATGAGAGAGAATTTTTCTGAAAAGTTTATTAATTTTTATTCATTATGGAGACAACTTTTACTAAAAAGGACAAAAGCAATTGGACATTATTTACAATGCTTGTGGTTCTGATCTTAGTTGAATTTTATTTAATTATTTTTTTTTTAAGTAACTTGGCTCACTCAGGAGACAATGAGCAAATTTTTAGTTACTATAAATAATTTCTTGCTAATTTAGTAAAAAAAAAAATGGGTTCATTATAATGCAAGAATGGGAGGAAACTTTCCAAGGCAGACGTTTTTGGACCCCAAATAGTCGGATATGAAAGACTAAAATCAGCTCAACTAGCATCTTCCCTCAGCAACAGCGTGCACATCGAAGATTGTTGTTTGCACTACTTATTATCCCTTATTTACAGTATGATAAGAGAACAGGAAAGGATTGGATTCCTGAATTTATGCCAAACGCTTGTTTTACTCCAGATTTCCTGGTGCATCTCTGGCCGACACCTTCAGAACACAAAGGCACAGTATTTATATCCATATATTAAAGTTACTGTTGCGAGCATTCAAAGCATCTTGGATCAACAACCTTTTGATGTGTAAAAGATTACTCAATATAAATGGGTCCTCAACATGTAAATAAAAAAAAGTACCACAAATACTGTTCTTTGGTGTAAATAAAAGTCACTGAAAAACTCAGAGGTTTTAGATTTTTTTTATTGTATAATATATCCAACTATATATATATATATATATATATATATATATATATATATATATATATGTATATATATATATTATTCACTTCTATATGGATCTCAAGAACATTTAAAATGTATATACTTTTATTAACCGGTATAAGTGCCTCCACGGTGGGAACAAAGATGAAGGAAAGGTAACAGCTGGAAACCAGAGGAAAAAGGCATGCTCTTAGTGTCAGAGAACTACAGTACTGAACAGATCATTACAGTCTTCAAACAAAACCTGCCTTCAAACATTACATGCTCCACCCCTCCCCAGACAATCTTATGAAATGTGCCTCACGCTAATCCGTCCCGCAGGAGGAGCATTTAAGGGCTGAGCTGTAATAAAATAATTTTACCGAATATAATTTGACCACTAAAGGCCTTTTTTCCCCCCCTTGTTCTATACTCAAAACATAAAACATTGATTGTAGTAAACATTTAGTGCTTTAAATGTTAATTCATACAGATCTGGCAACCCAGCTGCCATCTAAAAGTCTACAGGACATCATAGATTCAACTTTTCTTATTAAAGATTTACAGAAATAAAAGACCTCTGGACAAAAGAGGCACACGGACAAAAAACACCCTGCTTATTCACACGTGGCAGTTTCACTACTGGACCAAAGTCACCGACCCCAAGGAGACCGAAAATATATCAACACCACTATGATTGGGTACTTAGATACTTTGCTGCAGCATATATCTGTGATATACTCACAAAGCTGTGTGCCTTATTCTTAAATATAGCTGGAATACACAGGTAAATAGGGAAAAAACACTGATAGGACTCAACATGTACAAAGACACGACGTTACCACGGCTTGCTGCCAGACACAAACCAAACATGAATGTATGTAAGACCGAGTGTTTCTGCTTGTATCCTGAGAGGATCAGGGAACAGTTAAGAGTTAATACTGCATTGGAAAATATCCGCTTCAAATCCTGTACATAAACATGTTGGCATAAAAATATAACCAGCATAATATAATCAGTAGGGATTGCCTTAACGACAAACTGACCAACTTTCAACTGAGCACAAACTTTCTGAATAAAACTGTTACAGACCGTTAAATAATATCCCACCGCAAACTTACATTTCTGACCCCATTGCCTCCTTAGATATAAACTTTTTTACTTTTTTCTACAATCCTGATATAAATACAGTGGCTCTCAGAACTGTACACCCCTCTGTTAAAATCCATCTTCACTTTCTACACTTTTTAATGCAATATTTGAATAATAATGTAATAATACTACAGTGTGCATACTATTGAACCCTTTGAAACATTTTAATTAGATTTAAACATTCAGTCCACTTTAGCTCATCAATAACAGTAAAACCAGTAAACCTGAACTACAGCTCGGCTGCCCTACTTTGGGTTCTGTTACAGTTGCCTCCATTAGCGAACAGAACTGTTTCTAGTCAGGAAGATAAAGTTCAGAAAGGTTGGTAAGATCTTTCCTTGTAGAAAAACAAAAATGCTAAGCTGTAGCTTTTGTAGTGAGGCAAAGGGAGGAGGCGACAGATAACAGAGACGATACAACATTTCTCTTCAAAAACACAAACTGGAAACTTAAACATGCATGAGGCTGCCAAGAGTCTAACAGCAGAACTACATTTCTGACAAACACTGCATCCCCTGTATGTCTGGGCCAAGGATGATAGTTGGGGAAAAAAAAAACAAAAAAAAGAAATATCTTCTGATAAAATGTTCTGTGGTTTAAAGATTCCAAACAAAAACAAAACAAAAAAATAAACTTTAGGCCAGAATTTCATAGATGAATTTGGCACAAAGCAACATGACTACAGTGAAACACGGCAGTGGCTGTGTCATGCTGTGGGTGCTACTTCTCTTCAGATTGATACGATTATGGAGGGATTAAAGCCTAAGTGTTACACTGGGTCCAAAAATATGACTTCAAATGGTTGAAAAACGGGATTTTGGCTTTTAAAATATGTGGAGTCATCTAAAAACAGCGAGCTGTAAATGAGATACGTAAACTCAAGGAGGACGTTTTGTAAAACAAAATTGGGAAAATATTTTCATGTCAGGAAGTGGTTTAGGCAGACTGTTACTGAAGTGGATTAAAAGCTAAAATAAAATTGAAAGCTGCTTCAATTTTTTTTTAGAAACATTTTTTTTTATCCTCTGAATAGGGATTCTTTTACTGGATGCATCATACAATTCATTATCTTATGGCTTTCTAACAGGGTTGTGTATGTTTTGAGATCTACTGTATCCAAACACAAAGACAGTACAGTGCAAAGGAGAGTTTCTTTGGATTAGTACATTACCTCCGAAAATAGCCCCATGATGCTAAACTAAAAATCAACTCAAACATGTCAACAAGCTGAAGAATCTACAACCACTAAGTGTCTGGGAGAATAAATTAAAATAATCTACACTACAACCACTGATAGAGTTAAAAAGGTAAAACTGGCTGCAGCAGGAGAGTGGGTTTGGTCCTGCGTTGGCGAACGTTAGGATCGTTATGGACTCCACTCCGCGCTCAGAAGGGCTGAGCGTTAACAAGGAAAGTCTGCAGGCTTGGCTTGGAGGCAGCTAAGACTGGAGGAAGGAGATGATGGAGCTGATGAAATCTAGAGGCTTGTCTGCGTGGATCCAGTGGCTAGCATCTGGGATGTACTGGATGTCGGCGTTGGGGAACAGCCTTTGGATTTCTGGGTAATCGTCAGAGCTGGGATGTAGATGCAAAGAGAGAGGGATGAGATACAAAACCAGATGGGATCCTGTCAATAGGCTAAACATTGGATGTTCACCAGGAGTGTAGCTCAGTTAGGAACGGCTGCAGCATGAAAACAAAAGATTAGTCCGTCATAAGTTCATAAGAGAACCTGCCGGAGTCACCACACATTTTCTAAGCCGTCAGAACTAGGGGTGTGGTAAAAAAAAAAAAACAGATTTGGAAATATATAGTGATATTCAGCTGCTCAATATAATATCCAGGGGTTGACGTTAAGGATTTTTACCACTTGCCCAAAGGGCAAGTGACTTTCACATTTCATTTGCCCAAAAACAATTTTTACTTGCCCAGTATAATGTGAGATAAATATAGTTCCTAATATTCATTTTTGTATATATATCAACGAAACATGTTTGTTTTTAAATGTTTTTTTGTAATTCAGTAAGTTTCCAGGTTCCTGGATTTCTTCAGATAAGGAAAAATAAGCCTAAATTACCGTGTTAACATGCTTATCAATCCTTCCTGTACATTCTTTTCAAACTAAACTTTGCTTTAAACTGTTATGTGGTTGGAAAAATATAAATTGTAATGTTAAAATAAAAAAAATAAAAAAACTTGACAGGTTAAAATAAAAACTTACACTACTACTACTCACCAATTTAACATGTTTAGCTCTATAACATTTAAATGCACCACTCCAATGTCTAAGAGAAAAAAATTTAATGGAAATTTTTAATGTATGACCTGCATCACTGTACAGAAGACTGCCTTATGATAGAAATATTTACACTGTGCGCATTATATTATTATTATTATTATTTTCCTAATCCCTGACTGATCATTTTTAATCTAGCGTGTATTATAGTATAGATTAAATTCATCATCCAGCGGCTGCGCTGCAGAATTCTCTCCCCAAGAGCTGAATCACGCCATCTAGTGGAAAATCACGCGGCTTTTTCAAAACAACAAAGATGGCGCCGGGAACGCTTGTGGGTCGTTTTCAGCGAATGTCGGTGATTTTAAAGTAATTTTGAGTGATAAATAATTTTTTTTGCGATCATTGCACTTGCCCGGCGGGCAAATGCAATGTAATTTGTACTCTCCCGACAATAAAAACTACTTGCCCCGGGAGATCGGGCAATGGTTAACATCGAGCCCCGATATCGATCTTTCAGTTTCTAATATCAATTTTCAGAAAAAAACATTTTTACCTCAAACAATGAGGGAAAAATTGACTACCTCTGCACCGCCGCTCTGGTAGATGGCTCTTGGGAGAGTTTATACAGTACAGCACATCACCATCTATTTAGTTGAGGCAATCGCAGTGAAACACGTGAACCGACTCAAACCCCAAACTACATAGATTCTGTCAACATATACAGCACTTACTTTTCTTATGATAGCTGGGTAAAATATTACAATATATGGTAATGTTGCAATATTTAGATAATATTGAATATCGTGACCCAAGTATCGTATCACAACACCCATGCCAATACTCAAGCCTAGTCAGAACGGATGACTAGAGTAGCATTTAAACAACTATGACAGTAATTATCAAAATAAGGACCAATAGCAGATGTAATGTAATTTTGGTTTTCATGCTATATGGCTTTGTTTAAATACATAATAAAAACATTTGATTTTACTCAAAAGGACCATAAGATGAGAATCCCACAAAGGCTACTTTACATTTTATCGAGTAATGTTACAAGCTTACTGTAATACCTAAACTATTAATTAAATATGCATCAGTACAATATCGAGATAAAAATATAAAATGTTATATCATTTTATATAATATAGTATTTTCAGCAAAAGCAATGGCAAAGGAAGCTCAAAGAGTTGGTATTTTGACTTTTCTCATGTTTTTGGATGAGTTTTTGTTGTTTTGTTTTTTTTATTCGAGTTTTGCTAATGATCTAAACAAAAGTTAAAAAAAATATATCCTGGATAAATCAAAGTTATGATTATAATTCCAGGAATTTTGGAAGTATGATAAATTAACCCAAGCTTACACATATGAAGAGCAGATCTGTGTTAGACCTCTGCAGGGCCAATAATCAACAGGAAACATTTGAAACACTAGCTAAAATTAATTAGGTCTTATTTCATTTTAAGGAGCAAAATGCTAACTGTGTATTACTAAAGTATAACACTGCACTCCATGTTTATTCATTTTCTTTCCTGGGGAAGTGCAAATATCCTTAAAATGAATGTCTGTTGCTGCAGGTTTCTAAGAGAAACTTTAAGTAGTTATCTACTTGCCGCCATTTACTAAGTAATCTTGAACTGTAGAGTGAGATGTTACTGAAATTAAATATTTATATATTTATTCTAAGGCTTGATTTATATCTGTAGCATTGGGGATATAGCTATGGTCACTGCAGCAAATTTCCTCTCATAACAAGCTTAAACTCCCCCATGAGGCATGATTACGCATTCTAAAATCCTGAGGTTTAACAATCTAAAACATAAACATGTCATGTTTTCTACCTGATATAAGCAGAGCTGGCCCCACCCAGAAACAGCGTTGGTCCCTCATAGACAGAGTCAAGGCTGGGGAAACTCATGATTTCATCAAGGTGAGCAGCAATGGCCTCCAGGTTGACCCTCCAGGAGTAATGTCCGTTCTCCTCCACCAAGTTGGTCAGCAGGAACTGACGCACAGAGTGCTCCTAGAGGAGGACCGCCAGCTTACAGTTTCAACATATTCCAAATACTGAAGAAAGTTCAATAAAAGTAGTCCTAACCTTCACTAAACTTCGGAGCTGATCCTCAGCCATCCGTCTGGCAGTGGACCTGGGGATGTCGGTGGAGATCTTCATCTCCTGCATAGCCTGGATATAGTAGCGGAAGTTGGTACGTGTGGTGGTCTGGGCTGGACTGATGTCCACGACCACCAACCGCTCCACTAAACTCGGCTACAGACAAAAGGAAAGACAGAACAAAGTGGTAAAGGGGAAATAAACCAAGTTCAAGACCCAGTTATATTAGAAAAATAGTCTTAAAGCTCTAAATTTCAACTTTGATCGAAGAGAGCTCGTTACTGTTGTAGGTTTTAATTAGTAATACTTCTATGAGAAGTTATTTCTGGTCAGTGAATGCATCATAATCAGACACAACTCTCTCTGAAAGACTCAAAAGGCCATAAAAAAAGATAGGAAATGAGTCTAGCGTCTTTAGTAGAATAATGAAATTGACACTGATGCTAAAGGGTTAACCTCTCTGTAAATTTTGTTTATTAAGATGAGTGTGTTAAGAATAATTACCGTAATATTCTGATGATAAGCCGCTACTTTTTTTACAAGCTTTGAACCCTGTGTCTTAGAATCCGGTGCTGCTTTTCTATGAACAACGATTGTTGTGATAACGTAGGAGGATTTGTTTTGGTTTGTTCCGCTGTTGTACGGCACTACTTTTCCTGGCGGAAGGGCATGTGATCAGACACACAGTATCTATAGAAAGGAGCGGTATGTTGGTTACATGTCCTACCGCCAGGCAAAGTAGTGCTGTACAATTTAGCACAAAAAAGAACCAACTGCAGCCACATCAGCGTGAATAGTGCGTTCAACGTATCACTACGCGTTCAGTGAGAGGCGTGGATGACGAGTGGCGATAAATCACTCACCAAAACTGGTCGCATGTGAAAAGCAAGTTTTGCCTCAGTCAGCCAGTGGATTCTAATAGCATGTATTTTTTTTCATGTGTGCTGTATTTTGTTTTTACACAGTAAATTTACCCGTTTAAACAGCAAAGTACTCGCAATTACTGGTAGTTAGACATATACGTAAAAAGTTATGCAAATATGTAGTGGTAGCTTGTTTTTTAAACTATTAATAAAAGGGATGTGTTCCCAAAAAGCCTCCTCTTTCCTATAAATCCCCTTTGTGCTTATTCTCTTAGATATGGTAATTAAACATTAAAACACCTGCGGCTTTTAGTCAGGTGTGGGTAATGTATGAAGAAAACAGGATTTTCCTCTAATTTTAGCTTGTGCGTCTAATATTCAGGTGCTCCTTGTAGTCCAGAAAATATGGTAGTTATAGTTTTTCCTTCTGGCTAAATTCTATACTCTGATTATTACTCGTTTATGATCATATTTATTTAACTAAACTGCTTTTAAAATGGTCCTTTCTCTAATTGAAGGAGCGTTAAACTTCAGGGTGTATGAATAATCGGCCATCGAAATGAAAACTATCTGACAGTGTTTTCATATTACTAATTGTAATTTGATTAAGAACTTCAACAGGTTTTGTTCTTCTAGACATTAAGCTACAGCTCTCAATTAATCTGAGGCTTTGCTTGTCTGTTTTTCCTTAATGCAATGTTCTCATTAAACAAACTCCAGCCTTCTAACCAGCTTTACTAATGATGATTTATTGGAGCCAAAAATATATTTTTAACAAAAACAACAACTAAATGAAGTATTAAAAGTCATAAAAGTCAATCCACCTGTATATAAGCCATCCTGATTGTACCTATGTCACCTCAAATCTCTGTGTTACTCCCTTGTATTTTTATTTTTTTATTCCTAATGCACCTTTTCCTCCTTGTTTGCATCTTCTTTCAGCACTATGCCAATATGTGACCAGTGAATTTCTCCGCTGTGAGATCAATAAAGCTCATCTAATCTAATCTAATCTTAAGTCAAAAAGAAACATTAAAGTTAATTCAAAAGTAAACTTTGATGTAAAAATGCCAGAATCATCAAGTCATGTAAAAATGTTCCGGTTTCAAAATTATAGGCGTGTTATAAAGGTTAGCAAAGATGGCAGGACTGTAAAGTGAGGAAAACTCTCCACCTCATTAAATATACCATCATAGTGACTCCAGGCTGACATTAAGGAATCGCCCACCTGTGTCAGAGCTGTTGTCATGGCGGTTTTTCCCCCCATGCTGTGGCCGACGAGGACGCACTTCTCGATGTGCAGCTGGCCGAGGAGGTGTTTCAAATCAGCGACCATCGCTTCGTAGGTCAGCTCAGGGGTGTGGGGGCTGTTTCCGTGGTTACGAGCATCTACAGTCAACACCTGACTGGACAAAGGACAGGTAAGACACTTGGAATGGAGGAAAAGGAAGCAGCAGAGCGAATCTTCTCAGCTCAGCCAAAGCCTGACGTCACAAACAATGGAGACGTTGTGACAAATTTATTCAAGTCGTGCCAGACAGGTATCGTTTATCAGCTTAAAGGCTCTTATCAAGTAACCGTTTCTTTTTTTTTCTACAAAGGGCTATTGACAGACTGCTGTGAACAAATGCAAGCGAACAATGATGAACTGTTTCAGACACAATAAACAAGTGAGAAATCTTCAGCGGTGCTTTACCTTTCGGCCGGTGCGTTGCACCAAGGACTTGGCTATTGAATGGAAGTTGGATTTACTGCCGAAGAGGCCGTGCAAAAACACCAGAGGCGTGCTCTCCCCCTTACCGTCAAAGACATCGTAGGTCAAGTTGACAGGACTGAAAGGAAAGAAAAACAAGCTTAAGTTGAAGAGGCCACAAATCCTTGAAAGAAAACTTAAAAATGGCATTTTAAATTCAACTCATTTCAGAAACATATATAAACATATATTAGGGCTGCAGCTAATGATTATTTTGCAGATCGATTAATCTGCTGATTATTTTTCCGATTAATAAACGGATAGCTAAAGGTTCCTTAAAGAAGATTTGTTACAAAATTAAACCAGGTGAAACTTAAACGTTTCCAGTTGAGGAATTCTGGATGGTGCATATTGACACATTTTATCTTAAATTCAAAATGTAAAATATATATATATTTTTACAATTTTTTACAATTTTGTCACTGTCAGCTTAAACCACGTTTTTTGAGTCTCTACACTCCAGTTGACGATTAACTGATTTCTAAATTAGTTGACGATTATTTCAAGAATCGATTAATCACAAATAATCTGATTAATTGTTTTAGTCCTAACATATATATAATCTTCTCTAACTTGAAAGGAAACGGCAACAGAAGGTGTTATAAAGTGAGAAGACTAATATCAGCCGTCCTTTACGCTGTCATCTGCTGGTCCCCTGGCAGCGCAGAGCGGGACAGAAAGACACTGAACAAACTAGTGAGAAGGGCTGTTTCTGTCCCCGGCTGCACTCAGTGGAGGAAGTGGCTGAGAGGAGGGTGCTATCCAAGCTTACATCCATCATGGACAACACCTTCAACCCTCCGCTTCTGTAGAGAAGCTGAGCAGCTCTTTTAGTAAAAGACTTTTAAACGCTGTTTGTAAAAACAAGCACTACAATGCTGCCAGCACTCTACAATGCGACACTACAACGGCAATAATAGGGCAATGTATAATGTGTGATTTACTATTTGATACCCTATGCAATGACATGTTTCTTTATATTTGACACAGTGCAATACCTATATATATATAAATATCCATTTAAATACTAGTGTTGCAGCGATGCCATTTTTTGGCCCTGATACCAATACCGGGCTGTGCAGTATTGGCGGATACCGATACCATCTGTTTGAAATTGATGACTTTGTGTATATATGAAGAACTGCATACTACTTGGATGTAAAATAATTGCCATCATGGCTTTGTCAAGCTGCTGCCTACCTTTGTGAAGCAGGAAAAAGACTAATACAAAGTGAATCCAGTAGAACTTTTTATTGCCTACCTGGAATGGGTGACAATAGCTGAATAAACTTTTGGCTCTCAAAATTGTATCTGTGCCCTATATGTTAGTACTCACCGATACCACCATTTAAGTGCTGAATGGAGGCCCGATACTGGTATCGGTGCAACACTAATAAATACCCTGTACAATGATATAATAATAACCCTGTATAATAATCCTGCTATAAAAAAACCCAAATATATATATATATAGACGCAATGTATATACTGTATATATCCCATGCACCTTTTTCTTCTTTTGGCACCTTCTTCTTCTCTATTTGAATATTTGAGCTGATGTAACGAGTAAATTTCTCCACTGTGAGATAAACAAAGACAATCAATCAAATAATTAAAAACGAGGCTCTGACCTGTCATGACACTATTAGTATTTCATATGAAAAATGTATCAAACTTAAGCATTCAATCCTAAAAATGTTATATTTTACTAATCAGTTTAATAATATAAAAGCAAAACCTACTTTGAAAATGCTAGAGCGAGAGATCTATCAAACTATTTTGGCATAAATCCAGTATTTTTCTCTCCACGCGTTTCCACTGTCAGAATCTCCCACCGGTTCGTGTCTAGAAGGAACCCTGCTGTTACTAAAAACAAATAGGTCCAAGAATGCGACCTTATAACTGGGTCAATTCTGATTATTTCCCAGAAACTGTGCTCTGTGTTTTGTAGAGGGACTGTTAACCCTTTATAGGGTGAGTTAACGCTTCTGATCACAACCTCCCCTAAGTGAGGTCTAGAAGCATAATATCTATATCCAAACATTCAGCAAAGATACTGCTACATGGCTGTACACCTTATTTTGGCATTTGACCAGTTAGATGAGCCCTTGAATGATATATATTACCTACTGTATATTAAAATAAAATAAAAAGGCAAGAAAAAAGGTAAAAAGCTGATTGAAAAGTTAATAAGCCTAGTTAACAATTATATATAGGTTTATAAACTAAAAACATGTAAGCGCCAGTATCAGCATTAATGCCTCTAAGGTTATGTTGTACCAAAGAAATTATTCTTTTACCCTCAGAGTGTTTGTGTGTTGTCTTTTGTTAATTTTCTTAATATATTCGGGCAAGTTGGCGTTTCTTTGTTATTATTGTTATTATCAAGGCTGCACTTTAAAAAATGAAATATTCTAGAGAGCTGTTCTTAATGAAATTTCTTTTTGTTAACACTGGTGTATACAAAATGACAAAATAAAATCTAAGTCTATTACATTGACATTAATTATTGCCATCAAAATATATTTGATATATTTTTTCAGTGTTACAAAGGTAATAAAGTCTTGTCTTGGATCTAAATTATTGAAAGTATTTCACTGAGTGCCTATAAAGGGTTAAAGTGGTTCATGCTTCACTATTCAGCTACATATAATATGTAACCAAATCAGTTACTTCAGTGATATATTTTCTTTCCACAAGAAAGAGACACAAAAAATATAAAATCACAGAACACTGATAAAAAGAGGCCAAATTTAGCAGGAGTGACTAGCTTATGACTCTAAGCCTCGTTTATCTTAATTTTTATTTCCGAATAAAGTAACAGAATTCAGAACATGATGATTTCTGATAGATTTCATATAATAAATTAAAAATATAAACAAATATACATGTGCCCTTTAAAAGAATATGTAACACCATGTAATGTAGCAAGGATGCTAACTTGGTTTACATGAACATTAGCATAAAGGAGATTTTTTTTTTTTTTTTTTAGAAATTCTGATCTTTATATTTATATTTATAGCTAGCTTTAGCTTGGAAACCGTTATAAATGACCAGGCTAGGGTTAAATATGCTAATATAACCGTAAAAGGCTAAAAAAAGAGGGACCGTAGATTTAATGCTTTAAAAATACCACAAGGTGACAGACGGTATAGGTTGAATAACCGAGCAGTTTAAGTCAATATAAACAGCAGAGCCACCGCGGTAACACCAGCACCCCTGTGCTGCTGGAGGACACCGGTTAGCCTGGAAGCTAGCGGGGATACCTGGATGAGCTGGCTGTCCGGACCGGGGGAGACGCATCCACCTGTCCGGCGAAAAGACGGCACGACGGCCGGCTGCTCAGCAGCCCTCTGTTAACCAGGCGACACAAAGCAATCATGGCAGCATATGTTCGGTTACTGAACGGTCTTCTTCTTCTTCTTATGGGATTTTATGGCGGTTGGCAGACTTGTGAATTGTGCATTACCGCCACCAACTGATATGGAGTAAAGCAAGAAAACAGGAAACGATTCACCCCCCCCCCCCCAAAAAAAAAAAAAAAAAAAAAAAAAAAAAAACCTGTGTAACTTAAACCAACATAATACTAAATCACATTTGCCCATATAATTTTAATTTACTCTAGGTCATCTTAACTCTGACAGTTTCTGATGGTCCCATCGGTCCTCCCATCATACTTCCAACCATCTCCCAGTTCAAATCTTTAATGTCCAGATATTTTTCTGCAGCCTTCACTATTATTTTGAATTTTTCCGTTTTTGTTGTTGTCTGTGCAGTACAATTAATCACTTCTACCATGAAAAGAACAAAATTTGTCTTTTTAACAATAAGTGAGTCTTCATCAATTTTTAGAGATTTCTCTAGAGGTTTGGAATTTGCCGTGTGTTGAACTGTAGGTTTGGGTTTTTCTGACTGAGATGGGATCCTTTTTGCAGCTTCAGCGTAGGTTATTCCGAGCTCAAATTTCATTTTTTTTATTTCCTCAGACCTTTTGCTTGCTTCACAGCCGCGATAGGCAGCAGTATGTTCTCCACCACAATTACAGCATTTTATTTTAGCTTCTTTTCCACATTTTCCGTACTCATGTTCTCCTGCACACCTTCCACACCTCTGTTTCCCTTTACAAACTGCTGCAATGTGACCGAATTTTTGGCATTTGAAACATCTCAATGGTGGAGGATTGTAGATTTTGACATTATAGCTTATGTAACCGATGAATACTTTGCTTGGTAATTGCTCTACTTCGAATTTAATTAGCACAGATAAACTGTCAGATCTTTCTCCGTTTCTTGTTGTTTTTAACCGTTTTACTTCTTTTACTTTTGCACCGCTTATGTTTTCCAGAATCTCTTTTTCAGAAATTTTTAGAGGAACTCCTCCAATGACTCCCCTGCTGATCTTTTTGTTCTCCATTAAGCTGCACTGAACTCTTATCCCGTCAATTTTGTTGATACGTATTGCTTTGCCTTGCTGGGCGCTGTCTCTGCAGTTAATTAGCAGGTCTCCACTGTACAGAATTCTGGCACCTTTGACTTCTCCGACAAGTTTATTGATGGTTTTTGTTAAGTGAACCGGATTCCAATTTGTAAAAGAGTCTGCCTGATTAACGACTTTGAATATGACTTTGAATTCATTTTGTTGTGCTGTGGAATGTATGGAATGATCATCACTGGATTGTTCTGAACTAGATTCCCCTTGAACTGATCTCTGTTTTTTCCGCTTTTTCTCATTTTTTGATGTTGCTATCTTCCAACCTTCATTGTCACTATTTCCCTCTTCCATCCCACAAGAATCGCTTCCTGTTTCCTCACTACTCACGGCCCAAGACATTTCTCCATAAGCAGCTTCAAAACACGCGCCATGCACCAAACGACCATCCACATGCAATCCTAGACCTTACTGAACGGTCCACTAACACCATGTGCCTTAGAGAGCGGCCCCAGTGACAGGACAGAGCCGAGAGAACATTCAGAGCTGTCGGAGGTCGACACCAGCGGACACCCCCCCTTCACCCTGTCAACAACTGACGCTGCGTCACGACGCAGCGTGACGTAGGGAGGAGGGGCGTGGTTTAAATTAAATACCCTGGGTTTAATCTTTCAGACAGGCACGCTATAGTACGGAAAAAGATTAGGGCCACTGAAAAAATGTTAAAAAAGTTAACTGATTTGAAAATTTTAATTTGGTATAATATGACAAAAAAGCCACAATTCTGACTTGAGAGACTAAATTATCTCTCTTGTTTTAATCACCTTCTGCTCTTCCATGAATGAAATAGCATCACCGGGGACCCCTCGGGCACATAAAAAGGCGCCCAATGCGTTACTGGCCCTCCCAAACAACTCACATCTTTGTCAGTGAAGCTGTGTGCTCCCACATCTCTTGCTTCATGGTGCCCATCTACATTAACCCCTAGAACCCTACGGACCCACCGGTGGGTCCAGCTGCTACGTGACCTCGTAATTTTAACAAACCCCCAGTATTGATGTATAAAACACATTTGGCACAGTTTGGTGACATTTTTGGATAAATGTGCCAAAATGGCCTCTCCGCCTAAGAAATTTCTCACTAATACCATTCTAAAATAAATATGATTCATCTGATTGAGTCCAAATTTGGTATATTTTTAATAATAATGATAATAATAATAGATTTTATTTGTAACGCACCTTACATTTCAAAGAAATCTCAAAGTGCTACAGAGACCAAAAGAAGAAGAAAAAAACAAAGACAAAAATAATAACAATAGTAATAATAAAAACAAAGAACAAACTGTAGGGCTTACAGCAATACATCCTACACCGAGCAGCACCAAAAACCAACAGTTGAAACCAACAATTAAAACTACAATTTAATCTCAAAGTGCTACAGAGATAAAAATAAATAAATAAATAAATAAATAAAATAAAGATAAAAATAATAATAATAGTAATAATAAAAAATAAAGAATACACAACATTTAGATTTTTTAAGTCTGTACTACTTTTTTGTGCTATAAATAATATTTTGGTAGTGTTTTGCAATGTTTATTTCAAAGAAAATTTTGGTGAGGTTCAAAAAATGCAAAATATTTTGTATTTTGTCCCTAATATTTCAGGCAGGGTCAAAGCTACAATGGTGCTGACACCAGAAAACCATTCTATGACATCTTACCTTTACAGAGGTACCAAAAGTTTCTTCTTAAATCTAATAGCTGTGAGGCTATAAGTGATTTACTTTTGTGTGTTTATGTCAGGCAGAAATGTATTTATACCCCCTGAGGGTGTAAGAGGTTAAGATAAAAAAATTCTGAGATTAAAGTCAAAATTCTGAGAAAAAAAGTCAGAATTCTGGTATTAAAGTCAGAATTCTGAGAAAAAGGTTATTTTTACATTTTTTACATTTACATTTACATTTTTTTGTTTTACATTTTTTTTTACATTTTTTACATCTGAAAAAAAAGGTCAGAATTCTGAGATTAAAGTCAGAATTCTTAGAAAAAAGTCAGAATTCTGATATTAAAGTCAGAATTCTGAGAAAAAAGGTCTGAATTCTGAGATTAAAGTCAAAATTCTGACTTTTTCCCATATTAAACTAAAATAAATCAATTATTTATTTTTTCAGTGCCCTAATCCTCTACTGTACAATGGAGGACCAGATCTACCATATTTATAAATAAATGCATAAATAAATGCTCAATAAAAAAATGGGCATACAATTATTTGCCCCCCAAAATACAATAAACAAATAAATGTAGGTACAAATTTTATTATACACTGAGACATCTCTTTTAATTGGCTACTTAATTTATTCGCCTTTGTAATAATGACCTTATTTATGTATTGCCCGTTATGTTCTTCAACTTTATTTATTAATTACTTATGTTTTCAAGTATTTAATAATGTGCATGTTATAATATTTTTTTCTGTTTTATTCTTCCCTTGTAATTTTACCCTATTTATTCTTCAATGCTATTTATTTCTGCGTGTCGATTTGACTTTTCTTTCTGCATTTCTGCCTCATTCTGCAAATGAGGAAGGGCTGTGCTGAGAGGGTCAGCTTAGCAGGCAGCTTGTTTGGAGAAAATGCATGGATGAACGGTGTTAACATGTTAGGATAATTATAATTGATTATGTGTGAGTTTATCACGCCTTAATATTAGCTGCCTGTTGCATGTAGGAACTGATGTTTTCCCCAGTAGTTTATATAATTAAGACAGTTACTCTGCAAGGATACAGTTATAATTTTCATTCTACACTTGGTAAAGATTTGGGAATGGAATGAGAGCGGTGTCCTTCAGCTAAGAACAAAGTGTAATATTTTGATAAGGCTGGAGCCATGGATGCCTACTCATCTGCAAACATATATGATGTAATGATGTGGCAGACTGGAGTATAAAATGCTTCGCTTCCTGCTTACCAGCTGGGCTCACTTCTCGGGAAGTGGCCCTGACAAATGTGGGAGTAAGGGTAAGCACAAACAGGTACTTACTTTAGATTAATAACTTCGACTTAACTTTAGATTAATAAAAAAATAGGTAATTGGCGTTTTTACACCACTAGATGGTACTAGAATGTCACGACACATAGCTGTACCGGAGGCAGCTGCAAAGAACAGGTTAGACTTACTGTTAATCCTCTTTCTTTTTGCTGTCGTGTCTCTACAAAAAATAAAAACGCTGCAACAAACCAGTATTTACATTCTTTTATGGAAACAGGCTTCAAATATTTATTTACATAGTTATGTCTATTAAGTTAGCTGCATTCTCTGTCAAAGAAAGTTATTTTTCCGTTTTCTTTTAGTATCATCTATTTATTCAGAGGTTTATATAAAATTATATATTCTTAAGAACATAACAGTAAATGATAACATATAACATAATTATAGGTACTATTAGGTACTGTTCATTTTCAAAATATGAACGTTGGTTGTAATGGTTGTTTATTTCATCTAGTTTAATTTTTATTGTTATTATATATTTAATCCCAACTTTTTTGTTCATCTTGTAAGTCTGTTTGTCACATTAAAGAATATAAAAATCTAAATAATTAGTCTGAAATGTGACTCAGTGAGCCAGGTCTGTTTCGCTGTGTCTTGAAACCTTTGTTGCTATAGGAGCTGTGTCTTTGGGGATAAAGAATGCTGTAAACCGTAGCCATGGTGATAAGACCAAGACACAAACCAGAACAATGAATAGATCTCACCAGAGGAAGGACAGGTTATGGGTTATGTGCTCTGCTCTCAGAACAATCCTTTACTACTAAACACAAGATTTTTAGGATGAAAATCAGCCACTGTTGTAATTTTACAGCTATTTAGCTGCAAAACAAGTTGAAATGTGATTAGGGCTGCAACTAACGATTATTTTGCAAATCAATTAATCAGTCGATTATTTTTTCTATTAATCAATTAATACTTAGATAGCCAAAGGTTACTTCAAGAAGATTTTTTACAAAATGAAAGCAGGTGTAACTAAACCTTTTGCACTAGAGGAGTTCTGTATAGAACATATTGACGGGTGGAAACTCTTCTTTATCTTAAATGCAAATGTTTAAATTTTTTTTATAATTTCGGTGTAATTACTGCTCAAGGTGGGTTGCTCTGTGAGATAAAGCCATGTTTTAGAGTCTGTAAATTCCATGTGACGATTAAACGATTACTAAATTAGTTGAGGATTATTCAAGTAACTAATTATTCATTAATAATCCTAAGCTCCAGTTTTATAAATACAGGTTTATAATATGATTTTATTCGATTCCTCACTAACTTCCGGGCAACATATTTATAGAATATAATATAATTATATAATGCTAAGAATTAATAAAAGATTAAGTAAAATAGTCCATCCATCCATTTTCCTTCACGCTTATCCCAGCTAGGGTCGCAAGGGGTGCTGGTGCCTATCTCCAGCTGTCTACGGGCAAGAGGCAGGGTACATCCTGAACAGGTCTCCAGTCCATCACAGGACAACACAATCACGCTTTAGAGAAGCCAATTAACCTAATAGTAATATTTTTGGACTGTGGGAGGAAGAGTACCCAGAGAGAACCCATGTATGCTCAGGGTGAACATGCAAACTCCATGCAGAAAGACCCTGAGCTAGGAATCGAACCTGAAACCCGGATGCCTGCAATCATATTCTTGCTGCATAGTGCAGTGCTACCCACTGCACCACTGAATCTCCCAGTAAAATATCTATTTTATAATCACAAATGCTGCCTTGATTGCTTTGTTGTACATTATGTTGTACAAATTGTAGGGACATACGTCTATCTGGATAAACTAATATAACCCATGCCATATGTTCTATAATCTGCTGGAAAAAACGACATTTTCTTGCATTTGAATGAAAGATTTTAGTGCACCATCATAGATATTATTGAAAACTTTCTTCTCTCTGTCAAGGTTTGGTTGAGGTTTGAGGACCCAGATGGAGAGGCAGAAAGGCTGAGGAGATTTCTTGCAGTTCTAATGATGATAAAACAGAAAACAAAAGCAGGATTCCAAAAATCCAATAAATAATGTAAACCAAACACGAGGAACCAGGGAGATACGAGGGAGGTAGACAACAGCATGGGAAGACAGCAAAGACAAGGAACCAACAAAGAGTGAGACCAGAGGGAGAGCATATGTAGCTGACTGAGACAAAGGCAGGGCTAACGAGCTGAAAAGGAGCAGGTGTGAGAGGAGACCACGAGGGAGCCAAGGGGAAAGGAACACACACACAATAGGGCAACAGAGGACAACAGAAAAACATGAGAACTAACATGAATCTAGGAATTACAACAAAAAAGGAATTAAACCAATAAAACTAGGAAACATGGAGCAAAGTAAAGCACAACAGAAACAAGACCATGACACCCTCTATATTTCATTATCCCATTGTTAACATATCTGTGATGTGTGATGCTTAAACCCACAAGCCTCAGTAAAACTGTCTTTCTTGTTATTTATTTTTTGTATTAGCAATGATGATCATCGTAAAAAACAAAGCCTCATTTTCGTTCTTATGCATTCATTCAGCAATTACCTCTGCTGTTTATAACTAAAC